ATAAAGGAGAATTTCCCCAATCTGGGAAAGGAAATAGACTTCCAGGAAATCCAGGAAGCTCAGAGAGTCCCAAAGAAGTTGGACCCAAGAAGGAACACACCAAGGCACATCATCATTACATTAGCCAAGATTAAAATGAAGGAGAGAATCCTAGAAGCAGCAAGAGCTAAGGGGACAGTCACCTACAAAGGAGTTCTAATCAGACTGTCAGTGGATTTCTCAAAAGAGACCTTACAGGTAAGAAGGGGCTGGAAGGAGGTATTCCAAGTCATGAAATCCTAAGACCTACATCCAAGATTGCTCTATCCAGCAAAACTTTCATTTAGAATGGAAGGACAGATAAAGTGCTTCTCAGATAAGATCAAATTCAAGGAGTTCATCATTACCAAGCCCTTATTATATGAAATGTTAAAGGGACTTATCTAAGAAAAAGAAGATAAAAAGATTAACAGTGAAAGGACAGCAAACTCACAGTTATTAACAACCACACCTAAAACAAAGCAAACTAAAAGGACAGCTATATCAGGAGTGGAAACATAGAAATGGAGATCTCATGGAGGGTTAGCAACAGGGGAGTGGGAGGAGGAGAAGGGGGGAGAAGGTACAGAAAATAAATAGCATAGACAGTAGATAGAAAATAGATGGGGGGGAATATAGAATCTAAAGTACTTGAGACACATGGTCATAAACTAAAGGGGGGGTAATGGGGACAGGGAGGTAGGGTGGAGGGGAATGAAGGGGGGAATAGAACAACTGTAATGGCATAATCAATAAAAAAATAAATTAAAAAAATATTATGAGGGAGGAAAAAAACTTTCCTCTACCCTCAAGGTTCTTTAGGCTGCTCTAATAATCAAATAGGCATATGACAAATTAGCAAGAGAAAATAACCAAGTTTAATACATACATATGTATGGGAACCCCACATGAGAGTCAGAGACCCCACATGCAGTCGAGGGTCAGAGACAGAGAGGGAAAGTGAAGTATTTAAGACATTTTGAGGCAGGGTTGAGGTAATATACCTTAGCGGGGGGTGTCAAAGTCACTTTTACTGGGGGCCACATCAGCCTTGCAGTTGCCTTCAAAGGGCTGAATGTGTAATTTCATCTCCTTAACTGTTAAGGAATAGTTACATTTATACAATCCTAAAATTACATTTGGCCCTTTGAAGGTAATCATAAGGCTGATGTGGCCCCCAGTGAAAAGGAGTTTGACACCCCTGCTTTAAGGCTTCGGAAGGTAATTATACAGGGGGAACACATGTTCAGTAATTCATAGTTTGCCCTGCCATATTGATAGGTAAAAATCATTTCAGGTGATAACTCTTATTGCAAGCCAGGCTCCTAATTTAAGTTATTTTATATAGTCAAGGAGAGAGCAGAAGTTTCTCTCTAGCCTACTGGCTCTTGGTTGCCCCTAGCTCAAAATAATGTACACACCACTGAGGCATATTTTGGGGTGGCTCATTCTGAACCCACACAATTCCTTATGAGGTTCTAAACCTTCTGGTTCTAATACCCTATCCTGACTCTCCCATCTCTTTCTGTGGTCTTCATGAATTCTTTGTGTTTATTGCATGAACCTTCAGGTGAATTCTCTTAGTTTACTGAAAGTACTAAAACACAACCACAGTCCACCACCCTCATAGCTTCTCCTCCACAAAGATCATAGCTCGATCGATCATTCTGCTATTTTGTTGGTATCCCTTTCCCATCATTTCCTTAAAACTTCGGAATGAGAGCACTGTTGCATAGCAATGCAGAGTTGGTGCCCAATACAGATCCAGTTCTTTTCACAATTCATATCCTTTCTTTTTCAGACTTGAGAGTGGTGAAGGCAGTTACTGATATTAGTGTGTACTATGAAGTCTGGGGAGGTGTGCTTTTTAGGCCACTTGCCCTCAGGTTCTGACTTTTGCCTTAGTATCATCTCCTCACCATCCTTTTTCACTTTGTAGACAAAGAGCCAAAAAGGTTTCTTGAATATCGTATACTAAACATTAGGAAGAATGCATGGTTTAATGAAGGAACACTTAGAAACTGTAGACTCGAATTACAATGGAATACATTACAGAAAATAATGGAATTTGAGCTGGCTCTGGAGGAATGTGTTGAATTTAGAAAAGTGAAGAGATTTCATTCAGGAGGACCTCTGAAGCAAAGGTGAGAATGAACAAAGCAAGCTTTGAGATATAGAATGGGAAGTTGTGTTAGGGAATACTAGACAGTGAATTGACTGGAAGACTAGATTGGTCAGCTTGTGGTGAGTTCTTAGTGCTGGGAATAGTTGCTTGATTAATTCCTTGTGTGATCCATTTAGTCAACAAATGGCTTCTCACAACTCATAGGATAAAATCCAAGCCTCTTTACTGGCATGTAAGGTCTTCTGTATAACTTAAAATTCACCACCTCAATGCTATGTACCCTAACCTCTTTCCAGTCATATTGAGGACTTTCCAAATTTTCTAGCATGTTTCACTCCCTCAAATCTCCACTAAGGCTTCTATACCATATTTTGTGTTGTACATCTCTGAGTACATGTCTGTTTTCTTATTCAACTGGAGCTTCCTGAGAGCAAGGGGTTGTGTTTCATTCTCCTTCACATCCATATCACCTCACAGAGTAACCACCTAATATGTAGCAAATGCTTGACAAATATGTATTGAATATTTGCTTTAAATCAATATAGCTGTACTTTAAGAGAGCCATCTAAAAGCAATGTGATTGATATATTTAAGATGAGAGATCAGTTATAGGTATTTTTTGAAGTAGCTCATTTGTTTAAAACATTGAAGAAATATTAGAGGGTAGAATTCTAGAAAATCAATAAAGAATAAAGGATAGGACTTAATGACTAGCTACTAGGTACTCTAGAGAGTGAAGAGTTAAAGGTAATAAAGATTTAAGGCTACTTTCAGGTAAACATGTATTTTTGTAAGCCAGATCTCCTGGTATTAGTATCTCCTCACCCTACCTCTGCTCTGAAGATGAACATTTTGTTCCCATTCAGTGTTGTGGAGCTAAGCTCAAAATTCGTATGGTTCTCATCTTCATATATGATCAGGAATTAAGATATGGAAATAGTTCAAACACGCTGAATACAATTTTCTATGAAGGGAAGGTGTGCAGTGCATAGATTTTTAAATATATAAAGCATTTCTGCTTTTGGGACTACAACTGAAGTGCTATACCAGGCAGATGCACTGGGGTGCGCTACTATGTAGCAGAGCCTAGCTGCATCACAGCTCTTAACTTTAAAACTCCAGAGAATTTGATGAGAGAGGGATCCACAAGAACATGACAAATGATGAGAGTTCAAACCTTAAGAGAAAAATGGGCTTATTGGTAAGATACCTTTCTCTTTCTTTATTTACTGCTGTTACTTATTCATTAAAATAGCCAGCCTATTGTTTTCATGTGTGGCTGTGAAGCGGTGTACAAAAATCAATTTTGTATGTATTGTAGAATTGAGGAGACATATTGGTAACCATGCAAAAATCATAGAAAGCATACATAAAGCTTCAATTTAAAAAATCATGAAGGAAATTTTACTTTATTTCAGACTGTGGTATAACTTTCTTTATATAGTTTAAATGTAACACAGGCTTAGAAATACATATATATATATGTATGTATTTTAAAAGTTAAAATAAAGGATAGTGACTTGTGTAGATGTATAATTTCACTCAGTTACCAGAAGGTGGCACACCAGATTCTTCTTAAATACACAAAAGAAAGGAATAATATTAATAGGAATATAAAATAAGCTGTATTTAAAGATACTTTAATGTATTTTAAGTAAAAATATGTCATTGTTATTTGCATGGTGGGACTTAGTGTTAAAACATTACAAATATGAATTTAACCCATTGTAATTTTTATGATTAAAAATAATAATTTTAATATGTATAACATTAATAGACTTTGAAATAGTGTTATCATAGGGAGGTGTTTTGAATTTACTATTTAAAAAACAAATAAAATACTTGCTACCTATTTTTTGCATAAGAAGTCATTAGATTGAGGGTATTGTATAAGTTCTCTGCCAAGGTCTTTCTAAAGATACTGTTAGGCTATGACTTTGATTTAGTTGTGCCTTTAATAATGCAATAGTGCTTTTTGAGATGACCCAGAAAAAAAGCCAAAATTGTTTATTTTAAGACAAAGTTAAATAAGAGTAATGACTAGTAATATTTACCTTTTATAAGCTAAAAACAGCATAAGTGAAATAAATGTAAATAAATTCAATTTTGTGTTAGAGCTTCTCAAACACCTTCCAGCTTACTTTATTTTTTAAAGAGAGTTGAATGCATATACTGCAATGCTTCTGTAGTACTCTTTAAAACTGCATTCCTGAGGCAGTACCAGAGTATGTTCACTGTTGCCTTTTGTATTAGCCCAAATGAGACAGGCATATAACAGAACTTCACAAAAACAAAATCTTCTGTTTGGAGACAGTACATCTATTTATATGTTTTTATTAATTACAACCAGTATGAAAATAAGAAAATTGGTAGTGAACGAACACAGGAGAACATTATCCATCTGTTCTCTGAAAGCTTGTAATGTGTGTTGTGTTTAGGTTTTTAATGGAAAAACAATATATCAGTGAAGAATTGATCTTTAGGCTTACAAAGCTACAAAATGACAAAGCATTCCAAGGCTGAGTATATATTTAATAGAAAAGTGTTTCCTTGTGTCCAAATTTGGCTAGTGTAGTCTTTTAGATCAGTTGCCAATAAATGTTATATTTAATGTCAATCTTTATTCTGAACTTTCTAAAACATTAAGAGAGCTTTTAAAAACAAATAGAATTTTATGGCTTTCTAGTCTTTTAAAATGTTAATTTAGATATTTTAAAAGGTCTGTGTGGTCTTAACTGGGATTTATAAACATGATTTGTTAATTATAAGTAAAATATTTGCAGAGTGTGTTTGGAAAAATGTAAACAAAATGCAATATAGCCACAATTAACCAGATTTTTTTGCACTCCACTTTCAGGAGACGGAGGCAATTGTCTTTAAAACAAGCCGATTTCAAGGACATATTCAAAAAATCAACTTCAGGGTATGTCCAAGGGTCTGCATTTTCCTTTACTTTTTTGCCAGTGAGAATTTATTTTCATTAAAAAAGACCCTGAGATACTAGAAGACATTTAATCATCAAGAAAACTTACAATAATGTCTAAGGCACTGTGTTTATTAAGACAAAGATGATAAATTATTCTGTTAAAAACCACCACATGTAATTATATTATGCTTTGTATTTACCAATGTGCTTTCACAAATACAAGTTCAGTTGGTTTTCATAACATGGCTGGGAGTCTGGCAAGGAAAGTGGAAGCTTCCCTATTGTAGGGATGAGGGAAGACAACACCGGTAGTCACAAAGCTAGTTAGTGGCAGAACTGTAGCCAGACCACAGGTGCCTAGCTCTCTCCTCTTCTGCATCCTTCCTCATTGAAAAAGTTTGAAAAAAGTTTTTAACCTTTCAATCTTGTACATCAGTATAGTTGATAATACCTTTGTCTCCTAATTGCTGTACTTCACGATTTTGTGTTTTGTACCTGTCTCCTTCTGTGCCTATCAGCCAGATGGAGATCTTGCTTTCAGACTCTCTCAGATCTCAAAGGATCTGGAATGTGGAAAGGCAAGATAATGGCTGTGGACAGTGCAGACTGACAACTAGTGGTGAACAACCGATGCTAATATGATAAGGAGGGCAAGGAACTGAGAGAGAAAGCAATCTTGCTATAGCTGGGGTTATCTTGAGTGGGGCTAACAACCTTGATTTTAAAGCAATTTTCCTCTAAGTTTAATAGAATAGTCATGAAAATCAGTTGGCATATGTGTTTAAAATTGAGACTACTGGCTTCAGACTTCTACATTTAAATATTCACACTACATGATTCTTTTTTAAAGATTATATTTATTTTTTAGAGAGAGGGGAAGGGAGGGAGAAAGAGAAGGAGAGAAACATCAACGTGGAAGAGAAACATCAATCGGTTGCCTCTCGTGGGGCCCACAACCCAGGCATGTGCCCTTGACCTGGAATTGAACTGGTGACTTTTTGGTTCACAGACCAGCACTCAACCCACTGAGCCACACCAGCCAGGGCCCCATGTGATTCTCATGCATACTTTAGTTTGAGAGCATCTGCCTTCAAGGTATAGGACGTTTCTCTTGGTATATGTGTTCGAATGCAAAGAAAAGAGCCACTTTTCTCTCAGTAGCTTTAGTATTCCATGTCAAACATGGGGGCAGGAATCAGGCCAGGGTGAGGAATGACAGATATTACTTGCATATTGCTATATCTACATCTGGGGTACAGCACAACAGCTATTGGGCATTATGGTGACAATGGGATATTTTTTAAAGGCTTGTGTTTGTTTTACGCTTGAAGAAGGTAAAGGGAGGAAAGATTTCTACTGAAAGGTGAAAAAGAAATGAGTTGTGATATTTTGATTTAACTATTCCAGATTTAAATTTAAATTAATTTAAAAAATGGCTGAATTATGCTATCCAGGATTCTGGATAGGTATGGCTTACTGTAGTAATATATGTATGCTTACTCATGTTTTATATGTGAATATTTAGTCTGCCTGATTAGATTGTAAGGGATTTGCAGCCAGGGAACATTGTATACTTGTAATGTCTAGCAAAGTCATAATTTTTCAATACTTACTGATGATCAAACTAGTTCAGTGCACATGTCTTCTCTACATGTTTTGGGCTAGGCATAGTGAGTTGATTGATTTTGGTTTTTGTCAAGTTAAAGGAGTCTACTATCTTACATTGTCAGTAAAGCCTAATATACTGGAGGTCTCAGGTTAAATAAATGTGTTTCATTTGACAAATACAAAAACAGGGTCCTAATCAATCAATTTGCTAATGTTTGTTGCCTCTTTAGAGTATCAGTTTAAGCTTGATTCTGCTGCCTCTTCATGCTCTTTGAAATACAATTTATGTTCTGTGCTTTGAAAATATGAATCTCAAAAATTGGTATTCTGAAAATTCAAAAACATAGATATTTTCATTTACTGAACAAATATTATCACAGGAATTTAAACAAAATGGCCAGATACTGTAGTGGAAGACACACCAAAATGCTCAACAGTGTCTCTTATTTAGATCAAGCTGAATAAAGAATGAATGAATAAATACATGCCACATAGAGAGAAGGTGTATTTTACTTAAGTGTTATGTAGCTTCAGAATTCCAAGATAAATAACTGACTATTTAAAATATTTGATTTTGAAGACATAAAGTGGTTGGTTCTGAACTTACTGGTCAAAGTAGACTTAAAAAGACAGTCAGGAAACCCAAATTTAAATTGCACCTAGCTTAAACCTAGGGTCATTCTAAAAGATGGACTGGATTTTTATTCCCTTGTATCAAAGTCACACTTACTTTAGTCAGTAATAGAACATTAAATAAAGGACAAGAAATTATTTCCCCCCTTTGGACAGCCATTGCATCCAAGTAAAGAAATTAGGTATAGCTCAGAAATAATGTTGTGATTAGTTTTTAACACAGGGACACTTTATATAACATGAGTTAGTGATACCTTAGAACATAGATTATCATTGAATTGCTAAATATGTTTTTCAGGCATAGCAATTTGAAATTATATACTTTTGGGCTAGCTTCTATAATTTAAATTTACCATCATACATTTGACATGTTTCAGTATAACTGTTTCTATACCTTCATCTTTTTAAGGAAAAAATAACTTAAAATCACCCAAGAGAAGAATTCTAAATGAGAAAATGAGAAGGATCTCAAAATAGTCATGAAAATGGAAGTGGTTCCTAAATCTCTTGGGTCTCACCATAGTAGGCAAACACCTTTATGAAAACTATTGAGCCCTGTGTTTATGGCATTGTGTCACAAGGTTCAAGTTTGAAGTTGATTCAACTTTGGAGTTTAAGATTTTTTCACTCATTATTTAGAGGAAACCTTTTATTTTTAGTCAACAATAGTTTCTACAGGAAATTTAAAGTTTTCATGGATAGGCTTGGCAAGTGGTAAAAACAAAATTAAAGCAATTGAATATAAAGGGCCCCTTTCAATGGAAACTTTAAATAATGTTGTATAATCATAATGGATTATTAAGATTAGCTTTCCATGAAAGTGTTTGCTTCTAGTTAGCAAAACATTATTATGACTGCTCCATAAGCATTTGAAATCAAGGTTTACAAATATAAAGAGGGAGAAAGAGATGGGAAGACTAGGTAATTTTCTAGATCTTTTTAGCTATAACATTTATGGTGCAGATTTGAATGTTGTAATTCCTCTTTGGCTGTGAAGGTATAAATATAATTTAAAAATAATAGCATTAATTTATTTTCCTTGGGATATTGATGAAAATGTCATATAATATTCTAAAGGTCTTTTGGTAACTCAGATTTTTATACAAGTATAGTTATTTCTGAAAGAATGTAGAATATAGCAAAGATTACTGTATTTAACTGGCATGACTTTTGAGATTGGGTATGTGATGTGCTTATTATTGAAAAGTCTTTTAACCATTATAGATAAAGAGTATTAGAAATTATTTACTCATATCAAAATAGATCAGAATTTACAAAAATTACAATAGTCATATTGCTTACTACATTGTCTTCATGCAACTTTTGTAGTTTTGTTTCTCTATCTGATATCACCAAAATTAAAACAAAGTCATGGCACTATTTGAAAAACTTTATGTCAATATATTTTTTTGTTATAGAGCTACATTCTTAACTTTTTTCAGTAATACTGTACATCTTATATGGCTTTTTATTTTGATAAGTTTGCAGGTTTAATGTACAAACACTTAAGAAAATCCAACAATGATGGGCATATTTTGTTTTAAGCACATACTTAGGAAGTTGCTGAAAGAGGAGATTTTTCATCAGAGCAATTCATCATCACTATAGTGATGCATTTATTTCATTAAGAAAGCATGTGTTTTGGATGATTTTCATGAATACATACTTATTTTTAACTAGTTAATGTGTATATTTTCTTCATTGTAAAGATTTACAGCCTGAAACTGTCAAATCAACAGATGAGTATTTCTTTTACCAGAACCCTGCTTTTAGTAACAACAGAATCAATAACAACATTTTAAAAACCTTCCATGATATACCCTATCTTCAACACAATTCTTTTTTTTATATTCAGTTTTTTTAAAAATATTTTTAATTTAATTATTGTTTAAGTACAGTTTTCTGTCTTTTACTCCCATCCTAGCCCACCCCCGACAGTGCTCCCCATCTCCCTCCCATTTCCACCCCCCTTAGTTGTTATCCATGTGTCCTTTATACTTGTTCCTGTGAATCCTTCCCCTTTTCCCCTGAAATTCCCTCCCTTCTCCCCTGTGGTCCCTGTCTGCCTGTTCTCTATTTCAGTTCAACACAATTCTTATTTAATCACACCTCTGCTTATAAACTTCTTTTTCAATTTACTCAACAAATATTTATTGTGTGCTTTCCAATGTGCCAGGAATAGTGCTCCATAGGAAGATGGATTCAGGGATTCCTTCTGGAAGGAGGAGCAAGAGTTTGGGGAAGGCATTTAAAGCAGATGGAGTAGCATGACTGGAGCACAGGGTGTGGTAACAGTATAGCCTCTTATTCAAGTACTGGATGCACTATCCCTATTTGGCCATGATAAACTCTCTAAGTTGCCTTTTTCAATTTAAAAATGTTCAATGAAAATTCAGGTTTGTAAATTAGTTTACATTTAAAAATCATTGGTTCCCGCTACAACTCGTAACACAAACAAACACTTTGGTTTGGAATTTATTAATGAATGGGAATACTTAAGAATTGAATTTGTTTATGCATGTCAAAGATGTACAAAGACTTACATGGGTATATGGATTGGGGAATCATATATGAATGAAACACTCAAGGGTAGTCCCCCCAAAAAAGCCATAAGGGATATGGATCCTACAGAAAACAAAAGAAAGAAGGAAGGATAAAAACTTCTGAATTTCCCATTCATTGCTAATATTCTGTTCAGCTGTAGTGAGAGAGTAAGGGCAGTCAGAATGTGTAGGTCATTGAGTCCTCAGTAACTG